AAATGGAAGAATACGAATTCCGCGTCTACAGAATCAGCTACGCAACGCGTGATACCGAAGAAGGACAAAATTCGAAGATCGCATCAAAGGTGGAAGAGAGTTACCGACGAGTCAACAGGCATCGAATCCCAATCAAACTCAAGACCTTTTGCTGGCTCAATTTCGTCACTCTCGTCTCCATTCTCATCACGATTGGCCTCTATATCTGGGCGGGCTGCATCCATGATGGTACCGCCCTCGTCGGTCTGGCTACCATGTCTTTGTCAACCAGTGTAGCCAGTCTATCGGCGCGGTGGTATCCCCGCCTTAGTGGCCGTTCGTCGCAAGCAGAAGTTCCCAGTGGCGACGTGATTATTCGCACCCGGGCAGGTGCGTTTATTCTTGTCTACGGAGATGACGACGTCATCCGCGAGTTGTACGAAGGCATGGAGGACTGCGAGTACATGTTCAAGGGGAACACGCACCATCGACTGCTAGGAACTAGCACATTACTGCTCATGGCATCAATTATCCTGCTGAGTAACTGCGGTTCAGAGATGCAGATTGCCATCGGTGTCGCTTACATCATTCTGAATGCATTGTACTGGCTGTTGGCGTTGTTGGTCGAGCCGCGCGATCTGTGGGATATGAGCAGATATAAGATTGAATTTGTCGAGTGTCGTCCGAGTACACCCGACTCGAGCTACACTGAGACGTTGTGGGCTGTCATTAATATGACGGGTAGTGTGGAGTGGGTAGCGAATGGTGAATTGATTCCCCAAACGCCGGCCTGGGATCAGTGGTTGCAGGAAGCGAAGGAGCATATTGGAAAGGACTGGGATCCTGTTAGAAGGAAGGATGAACTGATGAATCCTAGACTGGCTTATCGCAATGGTCGGTGGTTTGACTGAGCCAGGTGTATTTATATAAGAATTGCCTTCAAACACAATTAGACTAGATTAAAGCTCATAGATTAATTGATATATGTTCATGACACTGCTAGTGATTGCAAGTCCACTGGCCTGTACCCTGTTGCCTTACTACACATACTCGGGTTTCCCAATCAACGTTGAGCCACGAATCATGTCAGTACTTGGCAGTCCACTCCTGGAAGAGTTATACCAGCATTGCATGCAACATCCTTCGTAAACACACACACGAAGTCGGACGGTATTACAAAATAAGTAAGAGTGTCAGCACCTTCATAGGTGCACACACAGAGCATGCAGGCCAGGCTGTTAACCTCAGACAGGAATAATTGCCTGTGTCCTTTTCTATGCCTGGTGTCTCTTGTTGTCGGCCTATTCTCCCATTTCTACTCCACTCCACATGCATCGCCATGGACTCTATATGCTCTATTCACGCTCATTGTCGCGGGGATGTTCATCTCCCAGTCAGTAAATAATGCCTGGTGTAGTCCCAATGCAAGAAATGACAAGGAACGCAGTGTGGGGTTAGCACTCTGTGTAATTGGGAGTAACCTGGGGGGACTTTTGGGTCAGAAGATGTTCGATGGGAGTGTGAAGGTGGGTATTGTATCGTCGATGGAGTGTTATGTTGGGGCTGGGATGGTAGTTGGGGTTCTTTCTGGGGTGTTCTATGTCTGATTTAGTGGGAGAAGAGGTGGTGATGGGAGTTAGTAGTAGTAGTAGTGGTGTTGTGTTGGGGATGAGTTATAGATGGTTATCACACTGGTGGGTATTGTGAAGAACTAATATCTTGGGTAAACTGTGTTTCATGCTGAATACCAACTCAATAACCGCATCTTGTCTATAGTTTATTGACTATATAAAATGGATTAGCTGATTAATTCTACTACAACCGACGCCCATCGATCCGCGTCGCTCCCCTCCGATGCCCCGGTCAAGCACGTCATGGGAACGATAATTGAGCCATATGACCTTGTCGCTCAGTGCCAATTCTGAATATATCCTGATGAGAATGGGTCATTGATAGGACTAGTCTATTTGTGAAATGTAGGATAAAGCAGCATTCCATAGACAGTCGGACTGACTGTCAGTACCCCTAGCGGCGGTGACCAGCGAATCCGGCCGGTTGGACTTTCGGATTCGAAACCAACAGACTATATTATTTAAATAATATTCAAATGGGGAGGTACGAGACTTTCATATATGACTATAGGGTGTGGATTACATTGATTTGTTCATTGTTTTGTGTACGTATACCCATAGACTAGATGCGGGGATATATATTAGTACAGCCGATATAGGTAAAAGATAAATTCCACACCTCAAAATGGCTGAACAGCCCATCCAGACACAAGGCCGTCAGGGACCTAGATATCGTCAATGTCGCTCAGCACGAGCAGGATCCTAGTTTCCGGGAAACTTCTTGTGGTAGTTGACAATCGCAGCCTCGGCCTTTTCCAAACACTTCTTCCACTCGGAAGCCGAGCACGAAGGAAGATCACGGAATTCGAAAAGTGGCAGCTGCTCGGTAGGATGGTCAAGGCGATGCTCAGTCAGGTCTCCATACCCTCCGACTTGACCATCGATCATTTCCTTATCAGCATCCTTAAGCAGGTCTTTGCCATCCTTCAAGCCCTGAATCCAGGCCTTGGCATTGACAGGGCAGGACTGTGAGCCGTAGCAAATGTTGATCTGCAGTTTCTCAAACTTGCCGTTGATCGTTGTCTGGCCGGGGTGGCCAGAGCAATACCGCTCATCAACACTGTCACGGGATATTGTTAGTGAAAATTCACTCAGGTAAGGTAGTTGAACCAAACTTACGCAGCATATTCATGTGCATCATCAATAGGGTTCTCATAACAAGCGAGCTTGTTCACAATAGTCCACAGATCCTTCTTCTCGAGCTTGCTCTCAATCAGCTTGTACATCTTGGAAAAACTGGTTCGCGGCATGATCGACGTCAATTCCTTAGCGCTCTCACTGTTCCGGACCTGGCTGCCAGCCTTGGCATAGGAAAGAAGAAGCGAAAGAAATCCACGAACATCTTCGCCGACATCCTTGGTAAGACCACCAGGGTTCTCCTGGAAGAAGAAATCGTTCACCCAGACCTTGTTCTGGATCTTGCTATTGGCGTATGTCATGAGGGGCGACGGCTTGTTAAGTTTGGCTTGCTTTATCAGGTCGTTGATGGCCCCAAGTGGCATCGGGGAGGTGATCTGACGAGACCAGGCGGAGTTTACAGGATTCGTGCCAGCCTTGACAGACCAAGGGTTCTTCTTATTGCTGGCGATTTCAACCTCCTGGCCGGTCTTCGGGTTCCACTTTTTCTGTACGAGGTGGTCAGTTAGTCTCTTCGTGGGTCTCCAAGTCAGTTATGGCGCAGTTATCATACCAGATCTTCATAGACCTCCTCGGCTGCAAGTGCAGCTCTCCCAGTTCCCAATTTGATCTTCCTTCCGTCCAGGATATACTCTGCAGGTAGATGTCCCAGCGTGCCTCCGGTGGCATCCGCCGTCAATTCCCAGTCTTTACCCGACAGCTTGGCACCTTTTCCGTCCTTGGCTGATTTGAATGTAACAGCCTTGCCTTTGGCATCGATACCAGCTTCCTTCACGGCCTCTTTCTCCTTTTCAGACAATTTGTGAACATCTTTGGTAAAGTAGATACTCCCGGACTCGAACTCAACGCCTATACCCGGAGAGGCTACACCCGAGCGTTCGACGAGTTGGCCGTCAATGGGAGAGGCAGTACCGAATTGAAGAGAAGAGAGTGACAAGAAAAGTAAAGCCGCATGGCTCCAAGAGAGAGTGGCAGAATACATTGTATAACGAGAGACTAGACAATAAAAGAATGAACAGGAAATGAAGGAAAGACTGTGAGAGTTATTCTGTTGGTGATTCTAAAGATTAGTGTGCCTGGCTTCCTTGATATAGTTTTCTCCCTTCAAGGTACGCCATACCAGAAACATCAAAGCTCGAAACCTATCATGGCTCCCAAGCTATCAGAGCCGGAATGCCATGGCGGCCCCAAGACTACAGAGGCTCTAAGGATACAACGGCCCCGAAGCTATAACGGTCCCACCTCAAGACTTTGTATAGGTCAAAATTACAAGATTTGATTGATATTGGGAGCCTCATTGTCAAGTAGAGAGTTGATGATTGGAAATCTTGCACGTTTACTGATATAATGACCATGACATGCGAATGCTCGTATGCGGATAGAGTGTAATGAAATCAAGGTATGATATTTTAGGCAGTGCCCACCACCAGAAGTACGTACAATATTAAACACACGACATGAATCTCTATGCTCTACAAGACCGAAGATCATCAGTAGACCCTGAAGGAGAGTCCAAGTTCGTCATGAATATGGCCCCCAGTAGGATTTTCCTAGGCGCCCATGTAAATCCTGTAACCAGGGTGCAAAGAGCCTCCACTAGGCTCTGCACAAGCATCCACATAGACCCTGAATGTCTCATTTAGAGCGTCCAGATTAGGCTCCATGCAGATCTCTATGGAGACCCTGAGCCCAAGATGGAATGGCCCCCAATGGCCTCATAGTGGCCCCCACGTGGTCCCTGAAATGAGTACTATGGGGAGAGCCCCCATTGATTTCTTTGTTAGCTGGTCCCGAACGGAAGCGACCACCGTAGATTCACATAGACTTTGAGTCAACTATGGAATTTAAGAGCTCGCAGTACAAAGGATCTAATCGCTGTGTAGGCTTTAGGCCCATGGAGAAGGGCGTAGCAAACTGACCCAGGCCCACATATAGACTAAGTCATATAGAGCAAAGCCACCCGCTAATGATCGCATAAGCGCTAAAACAAACACGGAAGGAGCCCCTGACAGGTTGCCTCTGAGCCCCCATATCTGCCCTGGAAGTAGTGCAAAAGAGGCCTTGGCTCAAGTCTGAATTCGGGAAGGCGTATTGAAAGACTGAATTGCTGCAACGGCTGATGCAGATCTAATTTAGGTCCATCCGCTAATCACATGATCTTGGAGTCTCTAAGAAGCAAACAGACGCAAGATAACACATGATTAATTTCTGGACGACATAACATATCCCGGGACTCTGTTTACCACACTCATCATGTACACATTTTCAGAACCTCATTCCATTCCTACAGAGGTCATAATCAGAATATACGGGGAACTGCCTCTTCCAGATGCGCTCCAATTGGCCGCGACTTGCTGTCGGCTCCGCCAGGTCTTGATTGACAACACGCCTACGATCTACAAAAACCTACGCAGAAACGTCCCCTGTGAACGATATGCAAGAGTGCTACTGGCGGATCAAGGTGGTTCACCACCTCATTCTTCATCAGTGACTATTGGGGATCTGCTACGATTGCGACGGAACTCTCGTATCGTGGAGAAAGCGATCGAGGTGTTTGATCGTGATATTACCCCGAATATTCGAAGTGAGTAGACAGATCAGGAACCACTAAACTTATATGAATTTGCTGAATAACCCTCCTACAGTTCCTCTTACGAGCATCGATGACAAGTTCTATGGTGGAAAACCACGTCCATTGCACTTGACTCCTACAGAACGTCATCGTTTCTCTCGGAGCTACTACCAAGTATGGGATCTTCTGCTACTAGACCAACCATCCCGCCACCAACGATATCGGACTATGTTGCTGAAGCACCTGTACATGATGTACGAAATGGTCGATCTTGACCAGCCAATCGGGGACGACTCCGAATATTTCCCAGCTGACGAGAAACGATGCGCACTCGCTGAAGAAGTAAGCGACTATCTTCGATTTCTTTATCCTGATATACATGGAGTCGACTACATCGATTTCTCTGGGCAAAGCGTGTCTATGCGAACGCAAGGCCATGCAGCTATATGGGATCATTGTCAGCCTGATTTGAAGAAAATCGTTTGCTACCAGTGGCGAGATCCGGAGAAGAAACAGGTCAAAGAGGAAGAGGTATGGGAGAATACAACTGATGAAGAGTGAATATAGGTTTATATTGACCGGGTGGATGACATTGCAGGGGCTGTCAAACAATGGTTCATCTGTGAATACAAGGGAGAACTCGGAGTAACGGAGAGTGTCAAGAATTGAGCTGCAATTACAATCTCAACACCCAATTTCTTGAAGGTCACGAATCCAAAAAGCCGCATTGAATCCAAATCAGAAGTCTGGGTTGTTGGTGAGGGTTACGGGTACGCAACAAGTCAACATTTCCCGGGCTGCGATAAGGTGAAAGCAGTACTCTCTACTTCGCGCCCTCAGTGATCTTACTTGCGTACATGCTATATGTTTCTATGACTATGAGAATATGGTACATACGACCACAGGGTGTGGAAAACAGGGCTTCCCGTCCGCTCAGCCGGCTGTACTTAAGCCACACGCCGGGAGGTTAGTAGTTGGGTGGGTGACCACCAGCGAATCCCTTCTGTTGTATGTATTTTTGCTTTTTGCCTTCTTTTTTCTAAGGCCACACGGAGCAGACCGTCTAGCAAGTCATAAGCGGGCGTAAAATTGGACGTTTGTGGAGGGGCCTGGTGGGCTCCCTCTTTGCTTTTGAGCGGAGGCTTTAAGTTGCGAATTTGGCAACCTATGTGCGTATCATTCGAGCCCATCATGACTTATTCGCAGACGTTATGCCCACTTCCTACTGGGCCGGCACTATGTCCGCAGGAAGTGAATGTGATAACCACAAAGCAAGCCAGATGATCACATGGTTCCTATCCTCTTTCCTCAACAACGAGCCTAGAGTTCGTTTGTGGGGGTAATCGCACGGATCCCACATTGAGGCCAATATTAAATTATCCCTCCCACTTGAACCTGTCTTTTTTTCCCCCTTTGGGTTATGAGCGGAGTATATACGGAAATAGGAAACGACATGATTTAATGGGTCCTATACCACGCGGTGCTCTCATGGAGATTGCCATTTGCGTGCTTTATTTCGGATACCCTGTAATAGCGGATAGACAACTTGCTGCAGTGTATTTGACTTCTGCCAATTCTTGTTGAGATTACCCTAGTCGGGACCTATTCATGTTACCTCTTTCATGCGCTACACCTTCACACTTTCGCCTTCCCTCCCTTAATGTTAGACCAAGTACCATACGACTGGATGAGTCAGTAGCCTGTCTATATTTCACTAGAATATCTCCGATCGCGCACCATGTCACTGGAGTAGACCTATGGACCCTTATGGCCGTCACATTTAACCCCTTGTCCACTGCCAATATAGAATATTAGTCCGCTTCTGGATGTTGGGCTCACAAGATATGATACCTGTATTTTCTCCTCACCGTCGGGTACAGCGAAGGCGCACAGGTGAGACCGGAAGGGCCGCAAAAATGGATACTTTCAGGTACGAGGCGGGGGCTTGGTGGAGTCGGTCACCGCGCTCATCACACAGAGTAATGTCAAACATATTGATGATCCTCGTCACTGCTCCAAGTGCCTGCAAATTTACCAACTGTACATGCTTGTTAACTCCAATCTTTGGAAACGCATGATCCCAACTTACTCTTCGTCCGGCTTTAGAAGTCAATCAGTGGGGAATGAGTTAGAATATAGAATGTACTATCTTGGTCAAGAGAAGACGCGCACTCACGGCATCTCCGGCGCCCTGCTCCAAAGCCATTAAACGCGAGGTATTCTTTCGTATGTTCTGCACGATCCGACAGGAAGCGACCCGGGTCCCAACGCTGTGGGTCGGGGTATACCTCTGGGTCCTGGGTCACTTCTTGAAGGTCGTAGGTCTGGTCATTGTCAGTTTGCCTTTCCAGTAGTCTGCAAAGCAGCTAGGACTTACTGCATAGGCCCCAGATGGTATCACTTCGCCTGTGTCTCCAATCGGAACGTCGTTTGGGCTAATGTTCTTACGAATGGTGACCAATCCGAGGACTAGTCGAATTGTCTCTAGAAGACAAGCATGGAGGAGGGGAAACTCCTTTTCCCACGTATACACACTCAAGGCTCGGAGGACTTCGTCTGCGGACTCGCCATCCTTCCTATATTTAGAGACTACTTGGTCCACCTCCTGACGGACTCGAGTCATCCAATGTGCATTCGTTGCAAGCATAACCAGTAACCACGAAGTTACTGTCGGGGAGTTCGCCTGCGACGCAAACGAGATTGACAGCAATGCCTGATGAACTCCAGTCAGCCTGTCTTGGGTGGAGACGTTTGCGAGTCTGTCTGCTAACCTGCAGGATTGCGCTCATACTCCGACCCTTCACTATAAGATCTTGAACTATGCTCATGTTCTCGGGCTGTTTTTTGTGTGCCACCGGCTGGTGCTGCCGCTCCTCCTTCCTTTTGTCACTGACGATCCGCCACAGCATCACATACAGTTGTCCTATTCCAATGACCGCGCGGATATGTAGTGGGTTCAGAAGCCAGGGAATTACCATATCAGCCGCTGAAAATGTCCCGTCTAGCAAACCTAGCAGCTCACCCACCTTTCTGGACAGCTCGGGGGAGTGTGCCACCTTCTGCACTCCCAACACTGCCATGGTAGACTGTGTGTAGAATAAATTCATTGCAGAGAACGGATCAATCAGTTCTTCGACCTCGAAGTGATTCAGAGTTGCGGTGATATACCGCTCTATCGTCTGGGGAACAAACTCCAGGCCCTGTTTGCGCAACAGTCGCGCGCGCAGTGTGGTCCGAAGATAGGCTGTATGCGTATCGCTGGACGGATCTTTAGAAGCTTCGACCAAATTCACGAATGGGAGAAGCACAGCGACCCTGCAGTGCGTGCCCGAAGTCAGTGATCTACTTTGGTTATTGGGAATGAACGGAGGAGCAATAACTTACCCTTCGTCCACATCGAGATCTTGACTTTCATAAAAGACCTTACGTCCCTGAGGACCGCATACACCAACCATTCGATGGCGACCAAGATAATAACTATAGTTTCCAGTTGGAGAAGCCGCCTTGGAGACACGACAGAACCCATTCCTATCGAAGAAGAACTGAAGAGCGCCCACCAGCGGGTATCCCGAAACTAACTTGGGGGCATTGGCGGGGAACGGTCGCTTCCAGAGTAGCCTTAAACATTGCACGAGCAATACAAAGGCAATGGCATACAATGCCTGGGTCAGCGCATAGGTAGCTGTGTCAAACATGGTTGTGGTGATATGCGGGTCGGGTTGTGTTTCATACTACAGGTTCAAACCGCACTATATATCTTTCAAAGCTTCCCTAATGCTCAAGTCCGGGGACTTACTCTTTCACCACCCACCTCCTCTAGGACGGTGGCTTTCACTTGACTGTTGGAGGAATTGCGTCCAAGTTGCATTCATTATTGAAGTATAAAGTGTTTGGGATAGGCGGTGTGTTGGTGGACATGACAGGTCGACCGTTGCATGCAGTCCTCACCGAGATGCAGGATATGCATCCATTGTGGCACTGGGGATTTGAGAAGACGGGAAAGCAGAAAGCGTAGCAATATGTCACTCAAACCTTTACTCCGACAAGCTCGAGTTTATCGGTGTTCCCGCCTAGTCCCTTGGCAAATCTCAGATCCTGTACTCAGTCACATCCCGCGGGCCACTTTGCAGAACTAACGATTGTGCTGCCTTGTTTTTTTTTCCAACGGTACATATCGAGTGCTTTCTATTGCATATGGTGATGACATTGTCATAATACAAATCAGCCTACCCAATGGAGTCAGCCATAGCCCGCCCGATCCATTCCCCAAGTGACTCTTGAGGATATTTAGACTTTTAGTGATTACAAATTTCCGTGCAGTTTTAATTATCGTTCTAGATGTGACTTGAGAAGGGCTTGCCTTGTGGGCCAATCTGTATGATATAAGACGTCGATACACTTTCTCCACTGAAACAGTTCAGTATTCACAAATTCTTATCAGTATTTCAACCATGGCAAGCAAATATACACTGAGGATCAAAAATCGTGTGAGCGGCACCTGCCCGAGCAATTGGATGGGGCCATCCCACAGCAAACAGACTGACACAGACGGCTGGCACCTGGTGGCTACCCAAAATCTGGGGCGCTTGAAATGGGTTTATATGGACGATAGGGAGGAGCGCAAGGCTCACCCCCAAGATGGTACAACCAGGTTCTTTCTAGATATTCCCACGGTATGTCTAACGCATCTGGCTCCCCTGGTGTGGCTGGCAAAGCTAATATGAATATGATCTAATTTCAGAGTAACGTCAACTCATGCCCTGCGAAAACGGCATCTGAAGGCATCTACAAAGGCGTCCAATTTCACACCAACACGCAGGTGCGCGACCTCGGCTGCTGGGCCGCTGACCTGAGCTGTATCTTCTTTGTGACCCCAATGCTGGTCATCACATGGTACATTACTGGTGCTCAGATCGACGAAGCATATGTGATCGAGTTAATCCGCTTTATGTTCAAGTGCCAGAATACCGATAATGGCGGCTGGCCAACGTATTTGGAGGAGGATCCTTCGCCAATGGGAACCACATTGGTCTACATTGCACTGCGGCTCATGGGGGTTCCGGCTGACGATAAGCGTCTTCGCAAGGCGCGAGAATTCTATCTCAGCCATGGTGGCGCAGTCTACCTGCCAGGCTGGGCGAAGTTCTGGCTTGCTCTACTGGGTCTATATGACTGGGCTGGTACTGATCCTTACCCGGTAGAGATGTGGTGAGTTGCTGGTCTTTTCCACGAAATTGTAGTGGCTGATACTGACTGGGCCTTAGGCTCCTGCCGGACTGGGTTCCAGTCAACCCGTGGAACTGGTTTGTTATTCCGCGCATGGTCTACCTGCCAATGTGTTATCTCTCGTCGAAAAGGTTCACGGTGCCGACAAATGATCTGCTGGATGAAATCCGGAGGGAGCTATTCCCAGAGAACTTCTCCTCGGTCGACTTTGCCAAATATGAAGGGGTAGTGCGCCCTTCCAAGCGACACCAGCATAAAAGCTGGATAATGCATATATTGAATTGGCTGCTGACCAATGTTTGGGGTCCATTGTTGTGTCCCAGAAGCCTGAAGGAAAAAGCGGAGAAACAAGCCTGGGAGATCTTACAGCATGTAGAACAAAGCAGCAACTCGACCGGAATGATCAGTGTCGACGCTTGGCTGAACATGATTGCCTTTTACTGCACAGAGGGACCAAACTCTCCCGCACTCAAGCGTATGCAGGAAGCGAGTCTGGAGTATCTGTGGATGGGCGCTGAAGGAATGAAGTCCATGAGTATCCACGGAGGACACGCGTGGGAAACGTCCTTCGCGCTGCAGACACTTGTGTATACAGGGCTTGCGAGTGATCGCAATTTCCAAAGCAATGCTCTGCAAGCCTATGATTATCTCATACGGCAGCAGCTTGTCGAAGAGTGGGATGATCCGCCTTCATGTCGTCGTCCAAGTCGTCTCGGGGCCTGGTCTTTTACCACCCGCTACCATGGCGGCCCCTGCTCCGATTGTACGGCAGAGGCCTTGAAAGCCATCCTCATGGTGGAAGGTGAATTGGGTCTCCGACGTATGAGTGAGAAGAATCTGTTCCTTGCAGTGGACAATCTTCTCATGATCCAGAATGCCAGTGGGGGCTATAGCAGCTTCGAACCCATCGCAGCAGGTGCTTGGTTAGAGTACTTCAACGGGACGGAAATGTTCGGACAAGTGATGACAGAACATGACTATGTAGAATGTACGGGGTCATGTGTTACGACGCTGGCGCTTTTTAGGGCTCGAAACGGTGAGTATCGGCGCAAGGAGGTTGACACTGCAATTGAACGGGGGGTGAGATACGTGGAGAATAGTCAGCGGTATGATGGAGGTTGGATGGCCTCTTGGGGGGTAACATTTACATATGGTGCTTTCTTCGCAATGGAAGCCCTGTACTGCGGAGGGCGAACTTACGAAAACTCATCTGTGGCCCGAGCTGGCTGTCACTTCCTACTGAACAGGCAGGAGTTCGACGGAGGATGGGGAGAGACAATAGACGTGAGTATATCATATTCCCCATGCTGTCGGAGACTAACAACTGCATTCAGTCTCGCTTGCTCGGTACATATACACGGGCACCTAAGTCACACACTACGCAGACCGCATGGTCTTGTCTCGCATTGATGTACGCCGAGTATCCTGATCCTGAGCCCATCAGACGAGGCATTCAACTTATTATGAGGCGACAAAAGCCCAATGGAGAATGGGAACAAGAGTATCCTGTCGGCAGTGGAGTCGTCACATGGTATGTCCTCCAGCTCACTTGATAATTGAAGACTGATGCTAACAATTTGCGGTAGTCACATTCAATACCATAACTACATATATTCTTTCCCTATCCGGGCTTTGGCGATGTATGAGAAGCTGTATGGAAAGCCATCTCTCATATAAGAATATTGCATGTAATATTCCGGATAGCTTTCTACGAGAAAGAACAGTGGAATGTATCGCGAGTGTATCTGATGATGTCGAGAATTTGGAAACGTATATTACGGTTTTATTTACGTTTTAATGATCTGAAAGATCCTTTGCAGAGTCCAGAGATTGTAGAAGCATTTCCGAGGACATCTCCTTATCCAGTATAACTACGATACAAAATTCTAATCCGCCGCAACAGCCAGCGACCTTCGCAAATCTGCCGTGGTCTGACATCTCGCTTCTGATCAAGTAGCGAGCCCTATACAGGGAGGTACCGTGTATCAAGCCCGTTTACCCCGCCCTCAGAGGAGTCTACCTTCAAGCTATTTCCCAGTCTCACATAATGGTCCGAACCACGCACCTCCCGTCACCTCCTCCCAACCCTGGTTCCCGACACATCGCCAACACCAAAACACATTTTCGGGGTCATACTTCCTCTTTATAGATGCAAGCCAGTCGTAGTTATCTCCAAACCAATCCTGCCTCCAGTCTGGGTCGTACGGATCGGCCTCATTCAGATATGTTCCCATACCCGGAGCCATGTCTTTCATAGCTTTCAGTTTAGTGTTGGTAAGATTCGTTCTGTATTGTTGTATCTCCTCGGTGCCGGCATTGTCGGGCCAGACATCGATTTGCTGGAATAGGAGGTGGGACCTACGCCACGCGGGGTTCATGGATGTATGAGGGACGGGGTCGAGAACCTTTCCGCCGGCGACGATGTTAAACAGGGTTGCCCAAAGGGTGCTGTTGGGGACTGTCTGAGCAGTGACAGTCTCGAGAAGGCTTGTTAGATTGTTCTTTGGTGACTCCAGTGCTTGCTTGTCAAATAGTCGTGATGCCATGATCGGCCTGTTCGAGCCCGGCGTTGTATGGTGCGTGCTGGAGTAATATGCATGGAAGGTCGGATAGGTGGTGAAGGTGGATGTAATTAGATACGAGGTTCCGTTGTGCGGGAGCAGGTCATCTAGAACAAGCCGGTTCATGGCATCTTTTGCTCTGTCTAATGCCTCGGTGGAATTGTTCTCAAGGAGATTCAGGAAAGGGTGGGTATACACCAGCGGTCCGGCATAGGGTGTGAGGATTGCAGTGCCAGAGTATCCTGCGTCTGAGAGAGCTGGCAATCTGGACATTATTCTGCCAGTCGCATTGAGAACTGCATCGTCATTTCCGTTCAGTGCAACGATGTCTAGGTTGTGGGCCAGGACAGGACGCGTTGGGTGGGCTTTGATGGTGGCCGATAAGACCACACCATAGGTGCCTCCACCACCCCCACGGAGGGCAGTGAAGAGGTCTGCATACTGACAGGCGTTGGCAGTGACAAGCTTTCCAGATGCTAGCACAACTTTGTATTCCAGAACCTGGTCTGCCCCGAGTCCAAAGAAGTGGCTAACGGGGCCATGGCCACCCCCTTGCAGGAAGCCTCCAAGGACACCAACAGTCTGATCTATTCATCAGCATGCATGCGTATCATACTTCGGCTTCAACAGACAGACTTACCGGATCTGCTCCACCAACAGCGATGACACCATGCTCGGCAGCAAAATTGTATACGTCCTGCCACACATATCCACCGCCTACAGTGATGGCACTTCCAGTCCAGTTGGATGGACAGGATCCATTCCTAGGAATGTATCTGTCGTGGTAATGAAGTCCATCTTGTATGGACTTGATCCAAATGGAAAGGCTACCATATCCTTGCGATCTAATATAGTTAGTGCGTATACAACCAGGGAAATCTGACACTGTGTTCTTACCGCTGCGAAATATCATGGCCTGTGTTCTTGATGACCAACCTCACATTGTGGTCCCTTGCAAACTTAATCCCGGCAGCAACATCAGCTGCCGTTGTCGCCTTGACACTGTACACGGGATAGTTGCCCAGGTCGCACTGTGGATATCCAGCCAAAGTAGCATTAACAGGGGGGCAGCTTTCCACGAGTGGATAGCTATATCCAATGGGAAATTCAGCCAGGTACTCATTGTTTGTCCAATTGGAGCTGATACTCTGACAGAGCTCGGAACTGTAGCCTGGGCCTTGGTAGCACGGTTTAGCAATCGGCTCGTTGCGCGCCAGCTTTCCGTCAACGGAGCTGTTTAGGGCGCTCCATGTGTCTACAGAGGGCCAGCACTCATCCGTAGGGGCCTGTATCCCCGAGAAATAAGCTATCACCGCGTTATCTAAAAGGGAAGGAGATCAGGTGATAACATACACATTTGCATTTGGCAAATACTGACTGTGCTCCAGCCAGGAGTAGGATACTGCGAAGAAGCATTTTTACGTCAACTTGTCTTGTTGTAATAAGTTGTTGATTATTTAAAAATTCATTGTAGCCAGCAGTGTAAGGGCTAGACTTTATATTCGTCGCTGCTCAATGCTCAACAGGCGACACCGTAAGCAGCGCAATATATTGCGCCCATAGCCACCGAGCACGAAACGGAAGTTATTGCATATGTATCCAGACCTTGTGCTCAGCAAGTAACCGGCAGCGACAACATCTTCAGCTGATGCCGATCCCTCAGCCTCATGGGGGCCATGGAAACCGGCCATCTTCAACCTCTCCACGGTCGCATTGCTCCTCTATATCCTCCGACCAACTGCGATCCCGATAAATGCAAGGACAAAGAGCTCAACGAGGCCCTAGGGGCAAATATGCTCGTTTAATCTGCCGGGGGTGTCGAGCTCGTAAAATCAAATGCGTGCTGGCTTGCCCGGTGGCCTCATTAGGCCCACTGGGTACTCCACAACCACTGGCAACATGTTGCGAGAGATGCCGCAATCTCGATCTCGAATGCATTGTCGAGAGCACTCCTCTAGGCCGGCCACCAGCGAAACGCGCAAATCGCGGAAATCTGGCCAGCAAATCGCCCCAGGCAGACGCTTCCAATCCCCCGCGTCCAAGCCCCCAACATGATGAGAAAGCGGCCAAGCTCTCCGACTCCATTCAGCAGTATCTTTTCTCGGGCGCGATACTAGACGACCATTCCATGCCGCAGGAATCACTGGATGCCACGGAGTCTACACCCGATGCCGACCGTCTTTACCATGCCATGGCCAACACCAGCACCTTTATCGCGGGGGTATTGGCTAAGGATGCTTCTTTCGGCTCCACCATTCAGCTGGTGTCCACTTGGAGCACATCTCTGACAGATACAGTGAGCCATGATCTTGCTGCCGCGCTTGACAACCTGTAAGATCAGGCGCAGAACTATGCTAATCTCATCAATTGGCTAAACCGTTGCTAGATTGGGGTGGCAGCGTCTCTTCGTTATTGGCACACCAAGCCTGCTACACCTGAGAGAGCGTTTGTTCTCCACCGATCCGAACACCAATAATGTTGCCACCAAGCTGCTTTTCGCAGTGCTTTGCTTGGCTTCCTGTGAAAGTTCAGAAAGTGTTCTCCGTCAGAACGGATCCCTCAGAGACACTCTACTGCAGGCCGTTTCGTCATACGGCCAGGACTTCATCTTCAGTCCTCCCACACACATAGACTCCGTTGCTGTCTGTCGCTTCTTATCGGCGTTCAAGCCGACCGCCTTGGCCACGTCTAAAAGAGTTGCAAGTCAATCTATAAAAGCCGAGCTGTATCTTACTATAGCATCTCGGATCGCAGAGCGACTAAAACTGTTACCTGAGCCAGCAACCATGCCATTTCTGGATACGACTGCCATTAACAGTGTAGTGATGGAGCGTGAGCTAGTCCTGTCAATCCAAGGCCTTGAAATAATGGCCGAGGAATTTCTGATGGGTGACTTTCTGACCATGACCCTGCAAGATTTCCGGCAGGTTCTTCAACGGATGCAACCCCATGTAGACTCCTATCAGATGCTCTTGGAAACACACTCCTGCTCACCAGTCATCATCTTCCACATCAAATGGATTGCAGCCACATATATGCAAATTGAGGCGATGGCAAACTCGAAGCAGTCCTGGATGACTCCCAGTCGATTGTTCATCGTTGTCGAAGAAGGCGAAAAGAAATGCCTCGCTGAGGTTAATTCTGCCTATCAGTTATTATCAGAGGCAGCCAAAGATGCACGGCAGAATGAAATCATCATCATGTCCTCACTGCTGGAGCTGCGCTTCAATGCCGTTATAGCCAAGGTCTATGGCCTCGGCCTTTTCTATATATCCGTCTGGAAAGCAAGGATGGAAAAGGATCGGCCACGAAAGAGCACTGAGATTCACCCAGATGAAGCGAGTCAGATGGGCAACACCGTCATTAACTCCATGATGACAATCCCTGACTCTGAGAGCGAATCACACTTTCTCAAATTCTTGCGTCATTTTGGAGGAAGGTATCCAGACAAGCTGCTAGGGATTCTAGCCAAATTCGTAGAGTGCGCATCAATGAAGCTGGGTGGCAACGGCTACATTGCGCCAGTCCGGTCAATAGTAATCGAGGTTCTGAATCTATGCAAGAATATCGTGGAGAACAACCTGATCCGGTTCAAAGCCTCCGGAAAGTTGCACCCCAATGTTGACAAACAACTCGACCTTTTCAAGCAGTGCGCCGATGCGCTGGTCGCCATGGTGTCCCAATCGAGAAATTCTCCGGAGGCAGCCTATCAGAGCGGCTGTATGTATATCGCAAGCAGTAAAATGCTCAACGGTCTGTTGGATTTATTGCATCGATTGAAACTGCAGGCTTCTATCGTCAGAGAGTGGGATGAGACTATGAGAGTGGTGAATTTTCGCGCATATACCACCGAGCCCTCCACAATGCCAGACGTGCATTTCAGTTCCTTTGAATCATGGAACATGTGGCCGTACCCCGATACAATGGGCCGTGCCCCTCAGTCATCTGACATCCTTGATTGGAGTCAATTGTCAACCACCATTTGGCAGCCAGACCCCTTGACGGATCTTCCTAGCACAGCCATGAGTCTGCCTGGTACGACTGCTGAATTTTAGAGCAACATGCCACCATTTCACGAATGAAAGTCACTTAATGCGTCGAAGTAAAGGGAACTGTACGCACTAACATGGCATGCTAACTTTGGCCTATTGGAAGAAGTTAAAAGGAGAGCTTTGTCCTCTCCAATTATGGATTTATGAGTTATGAATGGTTAAAATGGTTGTATGACCAGACAGTAAATTGCATTATATGTGCCCAGTGATGATCATCTTACGTTTTATTTTTCTCTAATAATACAAGTTTATAAATTGTTATCGAGTGATCCACTGACATCAATACTCCACGAGTAAGTTTATCGCGTCAGTTGCCTATGGATCTCAACCCTATCTGAAATTCCGGTATGTTCAAAGGGACTTTAACCTGTGGCTCGTTCTTGGATTTTGAAAATGAGATAGCCCAATCTTATTTTAGGATCATTTGCGAATACTCGAAGTAGATCCAGGCCAATTACAGACTGCGCAATTCTAAAATTTCCGTCGCGCAATTATTTCCGTATCCTGATGACCCAGACCCTAACCGCGCAACTTCGCGCAAATTAAGCATGCTAGCAGCCGCCGATCGGCTCCACTATGGTCTTGGCATACCGAATTGATTTGAGTGCGATAAGGCTGCACATCCCGACCAGCGGCTTATTTGCGCTCCTAGATGCGCCTGGCGAATTGTGTATTGTTCGATGACAGGTCAGCTGTGTTCCTTTCGCTCGGGAATTGAAACAACGTAGCATGCTGCGCCTGAGCATAGCCTCTGGCCCTGTTGATCTTGATTTTGACGAGGCTCTAAAGGGTCATAGTAAATATATAATGGGGTATCTGTGTAGTCGTTTACTCTTCTCAGTGAGCAGAAGCAGTATCAATCCATTACGCGTTGCATTTTTATATTTCTTTCAATCTTGATTCAATATGGCTATCTTAAGTCGAAGTGCAGGCAGCCATGGCTGTCCTATACCGGACCATCTTGAACAACGTAAGTAGTTGTAAAATCCTTGTACCCCAGATGCGACGAACTAGCTGACCTTGAGACAGTCGACGTTGGTCCCTTCGTGGGGAACCTCACCTTCTATCAATTCAACATGATTGTATCTGGAGTTTGCACTGCGGTCGTGTTATTTCTCATTTTGGGCCTTATGGGTCGACATGCGATGCATATGAGCAATCCTAACGAGCAACTCAAGTAAAGACACTCCAAACCGTGTTAAGAGTATCGAGGAGGCTGACAAACTTGCGATAGAATAATGCGAATCTGCAACCTCATCCCATCATATCAAGTCCTATCTTACATATCAATCTGCTTTCCGAACTCCTACATCTACCTCCAAGGGTTCACCGAGGTTCTACAGGGCGTCGCGTTATACGCCTTTCTCATGCTACTCTGCGATTACATGGCTCCTGATGATATGAGCAAAATGAAATTTTTCTCTTCCCTTGAGACAAAGAGACAGTGGCAGCCGAAGAAGAAAAGGAATGGTCTTGCCTTCTGAATGTGAGTTCTTCGGTAGCAGAAAAAGCATTATAGTGAACAGTAACTGACCCCTTCTCTGCGTCTAGTTGACTTGGTACTCCGTGCTTCAATACCCTATCATCACTTGGATCACCGCTATTATTCAAGTAGTCACCCAGTCAATGCACGTCTACTGCCTTGAAAGCAACGCACCTCATTTCGCTCACATTTGGGTATGTACTAATCTTCTATGCCTGATTGCATTGGGAAAAAAAATCACTAATGAGATTAACAGCTCGAGGTGGTTACCTCGCTGTCAACATCGGTGGCTCTCAACGCTATAATCCAATTCTATGTGAATATGAAGGGGTGTATGACAGAGCACAAACCATTGCTGAAACTAATGGCATTCAAACTGATCGTTGGTTTGATCTTGCTCGAGAAGGTATTCATCACGCACCCTGAAAAGCATTCAAGAAACAAGGAATATATCTAACACGAATCAGATCCTGTTCCTCATCCTTACAAGCACAAAAGTCCTCACATACCCCGCCTCAATGACCTACATTGACACACTGATGGGCCTCCCAACAATGCTCATCTGCGTGCAGATGGTGCCGCTCTCCTTCCTAGTCCTTTATGCTTACCGCACAAAACCCTACGAGATCTCACCCTCGGTGAGCAGTCTGCGACCCCAAGCATACCGTGCTCTCGAGTCAGACCAGGACGAGGAGGTCTTACTGAACGGCCTCCCCAGACACTATCAAGGTGGAGCTTGGGGGTTACGTGCGTGGGCTATCTACCTAAACCCACTCGTTCTGATCAAAGATGTCCATTCAGCTTATGTCATGATACAGAATGCGCGGGGTGTGCAGAAGATCCAAGAGAGGGAGGAACAGGAGCAGGAGGAGATGACGAGGTATGAGACGAGGTATGACCCTGGTGATGGGAGGTAAGAAGAGGTGAGGGCAAGAGAGGTGTGGGGAGGGCGACCGGGGAAAGCAAGAAAGAAACAATTATTGCATGCTGGCGATGTCACAGCAGAGCTCTGTTCCTTATGTTAGCAAAGGGCGGTTAAACCTATATTATGAGAACTAAAACCTCTCCTATAATTCACTCACCACGCTCTCTCCTCGAGTGCTAAAGCCTTGAAACATTCTAAAAATTGATGACCATTACTCTGAAGCGCCTGGCCTTCCTATACAGCCCTCGCCGACACAAAATTCGTCTGCACAGTCGGCAAGCGTTGCTGATCTCACAAGGTGAGCTTCTGCTAACAAGAATGAAAACCAGCCCAGTAAAGAATGCTTATTCATCGTCGGCATCTTGCATGAGTAAATGAACTTGATTCCTAATTCGATGCTACTGGCGTGGCAGCCAATTCCTCTAATCTCTTATGAGGATGACAAATGAATTGAGTAGTGCGCAAATTCAAAGGCAACCCGCTGCGGCATATGGTTGGCCTTCAAGGCCCCTGCTCTATGTACCTTTGGGTATTAGCATTTTCATCAATCTGCTCGGCCTGTTGCATACTGCCTAGCACTCCAAGGACATGATAATTCCCAATTCCCTTTTCTGTTAGTATATTCCTTCACAGAGACCCTCATCTCCCAGTCCTACGGAGCCTGTTTTACTGAGTTAACCATTTCTACTGCATAGCATTAGCAAACAAGCTCGTAAGCGCATCAGCGCAGATAGTTTACGTGATTATCTTCATGATTGAGCGAGAAGAAGTAATGATGATAATTATATTCAAAGGATTAATACAGGTTTATTAAAGGTCCTTCGGACATATACAACAAAAGAAAACAAAGAAAGCCCAAACAGCCCTCGCGGCTGCTCACCCCTTATTTCACTGCGGCACATAATATTAGTATGGCACTTCTCATTTATTTGGGTAATAGGGTTTCTAACGAGGTTGTCTGACCATCTGTAACGCTTGCTCGAACTCCTCGATGGTCTGGGGGGTGAAATTCATCACATTAGGGGAACGCAACCTAAGATTTAACGCATTTTCTCAGCCTCACCCCAGGATTGTATAGACAGCAGAGCCACAGGATGGAAGGATGTCAAGCATACCCCCAACGAGAACGACACGAGAGCCAAGTACAAAAAGAACCCAAAAGCACCCCGAACAAAATCGCCAGCACGGCGAACCCAACGACGGCAACGGCCCCTTGCGGGGTTTGGAGAAACGACATTGGGAGACTTGAGGGGAGGGGAGAGGCGGAGGCTGGTTTTTCCTTATTGTTTAGAGAGAAAAAGATTCTTTTCGAAAAAAAGCAGCGAGAAAGGAGGATCTTTTTCTATTCGAGAGTTGGATGCTACTGTGATGGTGTCTACGTTCTGTTTGCTATACATCAACTTCGAACTTTCGAGATACCTAGGGAAAGAACAGTGCTCATTTCCAATGCCACCTTCCTCTGGAAGCACATTGAGATATAGATTATTGGAAGTTACTTAGCCCGAGAGTGATCAAGGACATACTCCTACCACGCATGGCGTAACTCACGGGAAGCCGCGTACAACCCACTACTAGTTGCCAAATAATATATAATTACGGGTACTCATTGTGCTCCCCGACCAACCGTCTGCATGAGAAGGCTTACAGCGCTGCTAGTAATATGGGCGTTGATTCACTTTGTAGACCAGGTAGGAAATAAATTGAGTATAGTTTAAATTCATGCAAATCGAGAAAGACTTATGACCGGCGAGACCACTACTCTCCAATGCTACCCAACTTATACTGCACCCTCAAGAGTTTAACGATATGATCAGCCAATGATCCCAAATTTCCAGCCTGTGTAATTTCAGACAGCGGGACATCAAGATGAATAGCTCGCCGCACCCAGCTCCTCATCTCAATTGCCACGAGCGAGTCGATTGCAAAACCGGCAGCTTCTTCATCAGTCAATTTTTGACCATTCGAGATAGTGCCCGCAATAAGGTGAGCCATGTTCCGTTTGAACTCGGTAATCGCCTCAGTGTTATTCAGCAACGAAGGGTCTTGATGGACGTTGTTAAGAAATTCGCGCAGCCGATGCTCAGGTCCGTCCATTCCCTCATCCATTGACGCCTGCCCTAAGTTGCTGTGCATAGCAAACCGGGCATCGCGTCCCCATAATCGCATGAGCGAAGCGCTCTCGCTCTTTCCCGCTTTGTCAGAGATACCGACGTCCAGTACTCCCAAGCATTGCTGATTTGGACGGGAGTCGTCAATGCTGACTTGGAACGAGTCAAGGACGGCCCGTTCTGTTATGGGTTGAGCCGAGGCCACGCTGGTCGTTTGAGCTAAGTCCGCCCGTTCACTGATGATGCCTACATCTTCGACCGGGCCCAGATTTAGGACCGACGCCGCCAAACCACGCTGTCTTCGGTATGTGGCAAGCCCGGTCAGAAATGTGTTTGAGGCAGCGTAGTTAGCCTGACCCAGGGAGCCTGCAGAACCCGCGATCGAACCGAACATGACAAAGAAGGACAGGTTCATGTCCTGGGTTGCAGTGTGTAGATTCCACGTGCCGGTGACTTTGGGGGCTAGTCCGCTATCCCATTCTTCCGATGTCATGTGCTCGAAGGTTCGGTCCTACCAAAGAGGATCAGTTGGTGGTCTTGAAAGGTGGTAAGGGGCGGTGGTCAAACCTGCAAATTTAATGCCATCTGGACGACCCCAGTGAGACGGTTCGTACACTTTCTGATTGCTTGTTGAACATCGTCGGGGTCAGTCACAGTGCCTGCTGCACAGCTAACGCGGCAGCCTTGAACCTCTAGCTCCTCTATGAACTTCCGATGCTCGTCCTTCTCAGCTGATGGGGAGAGGTATACTATCTCGCGAGCGCCATGTTCAACTAGCCACCGAGAAACTGACTTTCCAATGCCACCGAGGCCCCCGACGATGAGATACGCCGCATTGGCTGGAAAGGAAGCCCTGGATTTTACGGGCGCGCTTGGTAACTGCGCTGGATCTGGTGTCATCTGGACTACGACTTTACCCATGTGTTTACCCGTCTGTAGGTATCGGAAAGCGTCCTTCACTTGCGTAGTATCAAAAACGTGAAGAGGCCGAATTGATCGAAACCGGCCTTTCTGGAAAAGCTCGAAGCATGTTCTCACCATGCTAAAAAAGATGTCAGTTTCTCCAGGGTCAAAAAGATGGGAATGATGCGTCCGGATGTACCTTATCGCTATTTCGGGACGGTCCCGACTGACGTTTGCAAGATTCACCGCATGGAACGAGCGATCTTCGGCAAACGGGCTCAGACTGAGCATTCCATGGGATAGAATGTCTCGTCGTCCGATTTCGATCATTTTCCCATAGGCTGCCACACATTCCCAGGATGCATGAAGTAACTCACCACTTAGTGAGTTGAGGACGATGTCGACGCCACGTCCATTAGTGGCCCGCATGATATCCGGCAGGAAGGAAGTATTGCGAGACTGAAAGATCTGTCCTCTGGGGATCCCATGAGTTTTGACAAGGTAGTCTGCCTTTTCCTCGTTTCCAACTGTGGCGTAAATCTGCATGAAACATTACTATATGCACGAAGTCCTACGTCGAAAAGCCAGATGAGCGACTTACCGTAGCACCGAGCATTTCGCAAATGTTTATGGCTGCGATACCAACCCCACCGGCAGCAGAGTGAATGAGGACCGACTGGATCGGTCAGTTAGTCGACTTCTTTCCTGTACTGTATAAAATGACAAATGAACTGACCTGTCCCTTTTGAAGGTTCCCAACCTGCATTAGCGAGTAGATAACCGTGCAATAGACTGTCAGCATAGCGGCACCATCTCCCAAAGCAAGGCTATCCGGTAATTTAGAGACAGCCTCCCGACGTAGAACCGTACGGTTGCAGAATAGGCCGGTCCCCAATGCCCCAACACGGTCCCCAGGGGTCAGGTCAGTTACATCTGGAGCAACTCGACGCACGACTCCGGTTGCTTCTAGACCCATGTCGTTAGGGTTTCCTATAAGACCCATGGCAACCAAAGTGTCCTATACCATTGTCAGAAACACGAGAAAGAATGGTGTAATGACAGATTACTTACCTTGAAGTTCAGCCCAACGTAGCTGACATCCACTTCAACTTCTCCAGAACTCAGATCCGTTGCAGTTGTACTGGGTACCCACTGAAGAGTACTGGTCAATCCAGCCTGCTGGATTCCCAACTTCCGTGGTGTATCCATGGGAGGCTGCCTCGTGAGCTGATGCGACAGCGATGTTCGATAGGACTGAGCAGTGTGAACAACGCCACCATGTAAAATGAACTCATACTCCAGATCCGTATCTGGTATCTCACGAGCCTGTTGAATCTTTTCATGCAGTTCAACTAGTGTCTCCGGTGCAGACTTTCCAACGGAATCCATCTCCAAGAGTGACAGATCCAGCGATAGTTCGCGTCTCAATACCCGAGCAAGACCATGGATAATACTGAAGCGCGGATCCGTGCAGCTAAGTGTACTTGGCTGCGTTACCCATAATAATCTGCATCCTTTGCACTGCATCAAGAAGCGCTGGAGAGTCAAGAACTGGTCCTGAGAAGACTGAGTGAAATATGGACTGTCGACCTCAAGTAGTGAAACGATGGTGCGACTGTTACACGGCGAGCCATCCAAGGTTGACCAGTGGACTTCATAGCCACTTCTCCGGAAACACGCTGCCACATCTCCAGGCCATCCTGCCTGCTCCAAGTTAGAAGCTAGGATAGTCACCTCTTTGTCAGACCTCTGCTCCTGAGCAAGCCTAGAGATGATCGTGAACAACGGTTGAACCGAACCCTCGAGATCGCGCTCGATTGTCTCGCCTCCAGTAAATCCAGCTGCGCGAAGCTTCTTGTCCCATTCCTCCCCCGAGATGTAAGGTTTGTGGGGGCGTCCATCATTTTCACCCAACCACCAGCCAGGAAGCGCACCCTGTGAGAACGAGTCGAAGGGTTAGCGCAGTGCGGCGCACATGCGG